AGTGGCTTGAGTTTGGTTGTTGATCATGTTGGTAGACATGTTGGTAAAGGCAGTGAGACTCTTAATTGTCAGATTTGATGGTATCTGAAGATGTCACGGTGACAGAAAGATTGATTGAAGATGGGTTGACTGATTGTATTCAGGTGTGTACCTGTGTGGGTGAGGCTGAGGCCTGACACTGGTTTTGATGTTCCTTCTCTGGGCACCAAGGCTGTGCAGGGCACTAGCCACTGCAAAATCACTAGCCACATGTTCTCAGACAGTACCGGTACAGACAGTTTCTCCCAGTCCTCCTCTTCAGTCCTAGATGGGATGTCCATAAACTGGCTTACCATCTGACAGGTATAAGTGGGTGTTGCTCACTGTGGTTGAGCGTAGTGTAACTACTGAAGAATCTGGCGATATTCGCCACTGTACACGTGACCTACTACCCACTTTCTCCAGCTAAATTTGAACCCATCTCTACTAGGCTACTAGCAGTACGATACACTGTTTTGAAGCGCCGAACCTCCTCTTTCAGGTGACGTACGACTCCATCCTCCAAATTGTACTTGTTAACCGCTAGATTGTAGAGATCGCCCTTCACTTTTGCCATTTCTTTCAGGTCTTTTATCGTCCACATTTCCTCCACCGCCACCCTCTCTGCTGCCTCGTACGGCTTCCGATCATCATCTGGCTGCTGCGCAATAAGCCATTTGAAGAAGTCCTTTACAGTCTGCCGTGTATCCTCTTTCCCTGGGCCAGAAACTGGGCTCGAAGAGCAGGCGATTGGAGCGCTCTTTGCGGCAGAGATATGGTATCCAGGTGTAGCTGGGCGGCGCGTAGTTGCTGGCAATACTGGTGGGTATAACTGCTCCATCTGCTGGCACTGAAGCTCTCTCCGCTCACTACGCGCAGCCTCGTCTTCTTGAAATCTCATCATCTGGCTCATCATCGTATTCTCCATCATCTGCAGTTGCATCTTCTTCAGCCGGTTGCCACTATCTGACGATGATGAGTCTCCATGCTTCCGGCGCTTCTTGTTATGGGGATTAACCTCTAGCTGGTTACCGTGCAACTTCAAGGCTTCTACGATCCGGTAGTGAGGCTGATGGACGGTTGACTCGCCAGTGAATATTGACCTCCCCCATGCCTCAATATCGACATGTTCTATCACAAAATGAGCGCCTTGGGGGGTAACAAAACACCAGTGTTTGAAGTTTCTGCAAGCTTCTGTACAGCACTCCCACATCTGGTGAATTGCTGACTGATGGTTCATAGAAGTCCGGAGCTCATCTACCCGCTCAATCTGCTGCTGCTCTTTCAGTAACTGCCTTGTATGGTAGGGCGTTCCAGCATCTTTATCTTGTAGTGGCTCGGATGAGGGTTCATTTGCTGTACGTGCGGAGAAAGCTTTTTGCAGTACACTGACCTTAATTTGCAGCTCAAGCTTTACATCTATACGGTCGACCGGGCGCTTGAAACGGGTAAGATGGCCATCGATCATGTCGAGAAATCTAGCTCCCTCCGCGATGGAGAAGTCAGTGAGCGTTATACTCAACCAGCTGCCCTTTGGGTGATCTGCTCGAAACTGTACGAAGCGCCCTATCCACTCAAACTCCCTCCCCTGTACAGAACAAGCCTCCGACGCGATCATAGAGTCCACCTTATCTTCAATAGTTAGGATAGAGAAACTACGCCGTGAGAGTATCTCATAGTCCTGGGACTCCCTCTTCTTGTTGACGCGGAGAAAGTACTGAATATGGAGGTCATACAAAGGCTCTGGAGGTGCGGGTGAAGAGCTAACCGGTGGAGGGTGAGGGGGAGATGATGGAGGAGCTGATGGAGCTGATGGAGCTGAGGCTCTCAGCCTGGCTAGAACCCTATCTCCGTCGGCGAAGAGCTCATCAAGCTCCCTCTCATCGCTCTCATATCTTGCAGCTCTCTCAGCTCTCTCAGCTCTCTCAGCTCTCTCAGCTCTCTCAGCTCTCTCAGCTCTCTCAGCTCTCTCAGCTCCCTCATCGACTTCAACCTCAATGGAATCCTCAACCGTTTGGGTAGCCTGCTGATCTCCCCATCGTACTGAACGTGCAGCTTTTTTAGGTGCCCTCGGGGTCATCTTTCGAGCAGGAGCAGCTGCAGCCTTTGGGGTAGCTTGCTTCTTTCGAGCAGGTTTCAATATAGAGGGCCTCGTAGTTGATCGCAGTGGTGGAGAAATACGGGTGCTGGCAACGCTGGCAGCGCGCGCGGAAGGCTTGCAGGTACGTTTTGGAGCCATCTGCAACACCATAAATTAGTGAGTATAGGCCTCTCACTATATAAACCTACAGCTTCAATTTTAACCAGGTATATACAGGTGTTTGTAGAGGGTAGGTGCGATTCAGTATAATTTGTGTTACTGTCCAAGGTCTCATACAAAAAACGCGGGTAAGTGAGACGCGATGCGAAATGCCAAGGAGCGTCGGATTAACGCATACAATAGATACAGGATGCGTCTCTCAATCCTCGGGCCGTCGAGGGACCAATTCAATGCGGCCCGGGTCAGCCCTGCCTTGATGGTTCATGCTGTACGTAATGCACCACTGGCATCTTGTGATATATTTGGACGCTTACATTTGTGTCTCAATAGGTAATACTGACGGAAAGTGCGGCTTCAAATCATACAATTGTGGAGAGACATGTATATCCAACTGTGACGCAAAAGCCATGTGCGGCATTGACTCAGCAGACGGGAAGACGCCTTGCGGGCTCAAGCTATGCTGTTCGCACTATGGCTGGTATAGATAATTCCATCTCTGTTCTTTTAGCTTCGAAAACTGGTCGATCCCGGAGCTGACATATCACTAGGTGTGGTACGGAAGATGTTCACTGCATCGATCCCGAGCCCCAATTTGGTAAAACACCATGTCAGGCTGGATATGGAGGTTGCAAGGTTATCCCATCGCCGACATGTGGAAAAGACTCGGGAACCGCGAGAGGCCGCCGTGTTGGATACTATCAAGGGTGGAATACGAGAGAGCGCATGTGCGAGAGGGTCTCGCCGCGTCAGATCAACACTCGCGGTCTAACGCATCTGTTTTATTCGTTTGCGTTCTTCCATCCAACTACATATGAAATAATGGCCATGAATGAAGGGGACATTCCCCTCTATGGCGAATTCACGGCTCTAAAGAGGAATGGGCTGCAAACGTTGATTGCAATTGGCGGAGTAAGTTTCTTGCCTGCAATATTCCGGTTGAGATCGGAAGTTAACTCTTAGTAGTAGTCTTTCAATGATCCTAACACTACTACGCTCAATGCTTTCTCCAACATGGTTTCTAGTTCGGGTAACCGCGCTGCCTTCATAAACTCGCTCATTGCGTTTATGAACCGCTATGGTTTCCAAGGGGCCGACATCGATTGGGAGTACCCGGCTGACCCCAAACGTGGCGGCCGTAAAGAAGATACCGACAATCTTGTTCTCCTCATGAAAGAGATGTATGAAGCATTTGGTGGACGCTACGGCTCAAGTCTAACTATTGCACCTGATTATTGGTACCCCGGGGTTAGCTCTGCTTGCATCTATGTGAGACAGCAGCATGCTGATTTGCTCTGCAGGTTTCAAGCCTGCCAACATGCAGAATTACGTCGACTTCATGGGTTTCATGAGGTAAGGACCTGATGTGTATCCAACACCGTCGAGGATCTGACCATCCAAACAGTTACGACCTCCATGGTCCATGGGACGAAGACGTAAAGACTCTGGGCTCTATTGTTCGGCCTCAAACGGATATTACAGAAATTGATCGGAATTTGAAACCGTTATGGTTCGATGGAGTCGACCCTGGAAAGGTCAACTTTGGGATTGCGTACTACGGTCGAACATATAAGCTCATGGATCCTTCCTGTTGGAAGATGGGTTGCCACTTCCTTGGAGAGGGGGCTGCGGGCCCTTGCACTAACTTCCCGGGTGTGCTCTCAAACCGTGAGATCAGAGGTATCATCAAGGAGGAAAACATTACGCCAACCCTCAATGTCACTGCTATGGTAAAATATCTCAAGTATAAAGGAGATAGCTGGGTGGGGTACGATGACGCCGAGACCTATGCGAATGATAGATGCTTGGTAAGTCCTTCTAGACATAACAATGTTTTTTACACAATACTAACAATCTTCCAGGGCGGCATCATGATATGGTCTATTGATTTTGACGATAAGACAGGTGGCGGCATCGGTCTCGACGATCCGAATGGCTATAATTCTCCTGAATCTGCGACCATAATCCCAATGTCCCATACTACTGTTCCGGCCGGCCAGACTTTTACCGTTGGGGGCGGTGCTGCCACCGACCTTCCTAGGCTTCCGAACGGCGGAAACCAGAATATCCCCAGCGGCCCTGGACCAGAGAAATGCGGTCAGTGCAGCTTTTTCCGAAGGATAACGTCGACATGTTGCGGTACTGGCGGCTCAGTAGGAAACCCAATTTTGATTCCAGCTGGAGTTCCAACACCTATGGATATACCTTTACCCCCAGCCTTTGCTCCAAACCAATCATTTACGGATTCTAATGGCACGCTGATCCCTGCAAATCAAGCACTGCCGCGGGAGACGATTATTCCGCGCAATACTGTCTTTACTCAGCCGTTTATTATAGGCCCGGGGACACCACTCCGCGAAGGGGAGAGCGATGATCAGAATTCCAACTCGTCAAGCCATATTTGGCTGTCACCACATATTTGGGATGACCCGAATCCTCAGGTACAATGTTTCTTCCCGTGTACATTCGTGTTGCCACCTTGGCCGTCGTTTACAACCACCGTCGACTACCCTCGCATTACCGTGACCCGAAGTGGAACCATCCAAACCACACTGACGTTTCCTCCTCTAACCGTAAGTCGCTGGGAGCCCTCCACAATCGTTGTTGATGGCTCACGTACAACATCTTCATGCCCTGAAGACGACCAATCGCGCACGTCACGTGTTCGAATCAAAACGACGAGCACATGGCCCGTCGTCAAATACACATCTTCGGGGACCGTTCACACCACGCGGCCGCCAACAAGAACTTCTGACCCTCCTTCACCACCTGGTAAAGACGAAGACCCAGATGATGGGCCATGCTTCTTCAACTGCCCACCACCACCCCCGCCCGGCATACGTCCTCCTAACCTTACCATCAGACCCGGTCCACCACGTCCGACCACAACACCATGCGCCTTTCCCGCAAATGTTTGCCCACCGGGACAAAGACCTCGTCCTGGGCTTGGAGGAATCCTTGGTCCGGCAGAGGAGGAAGTTGAGGAGGTCGACCCAAAGGAAATATGCCTTCTCCGACCGTCCAAGACAAAAACGTTGACAGCCATACTTACAGTTTCCACAGATGTTACAACCATTGTCGCGCCTGAGCCAACTCCTTCTGAGCCACCGGTCATGCCACAACCTCCGACTCATACATGGACCCAGGTCGATCATTCTAAAGACCGAGTCAGGTGTTACAACAGAGGACAAGAGGCGCTGCGTATACATATGATCAATCCAGTGGAGTCTTACTGCGAAACGGTACTCCGTAATGGCGAGCATATTTCAGGCGGATGGAAGGGAGCGGAAGGTCGATATCCGTTTCCATGCTGTGACCGATCGGTTGAAGTAATGCCCATTGCTGTCTACGTCCAGATGGAGTTGAAGGACGGTTGTGAGTGGACCTTCAACAGGAACGAGTGCAGGGCAGAGTTCAGAAAGATTATCGACGGCTGTGATAAATCGGGGGAGAATCGAAAGCAGGGCGGTACTATTGAGGGCAACTGTCTGAGATGGAGGGTTGACCCGAACACGGTGTATTAGATATCTTCCGTCTGATTATCTCTTCCGGCGACTGGACAGCCTTTTTCTCGTGGCTCTTTCATTTGTGGCCTGGCATTTTTCATCCGTATGCATAAAGAGTAGAATTTTCGTCACTGTACCTTAAAGGCAATACTCTGCATCAAAAGAAACTCACATAACGGCGTGGCGTCATGGGGTTGCTGATCGTCCTGAGCCTTGCTAAGGAGCTCGGCCGCAGCGGTGCTCTGCCACATCAGCACGATGGGAGTGGAATTCCTCACACCTACCACCATTATCTGGAATAACGGTACGTGGCCAGCTGCTACTGACAGATGGCGAGAGACGAACGAGGGCACATGCATGTCGATGGGCTGGAGGATATCCTGAAAGATTGTCAAACCGCTCTGCGCAAAGATAGATGCCAGTGAATTTGTTTCCATCATTGAAGCTTTCGCAAGGCTATCATTGAAGCTTTCGCAAGGCTATTGATATCCAAGCCATCAGAGAAAGCCAGGTGCATGCGGACTTGCTGTTCGTTATCCGATCTGAGGATTCTGCCGCCCTACATTGACATATAGACACAGATAGATATCCTCCAAATCCCGTATTACCCACGAGGACCGGGTGGGCATGCCACGAGTTCAATCCCAGTGTGCTCGTTTGCGAATATATTTTGCGTAGACATAATGGCCCTCTCCAGTGTTATCATCTATCACCTAGTTCGGTCACTTCAGCAAGCTAATCACCTCTCATAAGAAGTTTACATACCAGATGAGGGCTCGTACTTTGGGTCCCGCGACTGATTGTCCCCCTGCTCCATTCCTCATCGTTGGCTGGTATACAATTCAGCGAGCGGCCTAGCCATTCCACAGGGTGATGAACTCACGATCTTTCAAGAAATAGACAGTATCCGGATAAGAATAGCATCCCTTCTTGTACGCACCCGTCGGAATTGGAGGGAGATTTGGAGGGGTTGCTGGTTGCGGTCGTGCTCTAGGCATTGTTGTTGTTGTTACGCTAGCCGACATGGGAGTTGCCCACCCCACTGGTGCCCCTCTTATGGAAGTCCCCCTGTTGCCCCGTTGCTGCCTAGGATAAGATTGGTTAGTCGGAGGACCTGCGGGCGGCAAGCCCTCCCAATCACGTGATATTGTCAGTGCCAAGAGAGCTACGGGAAGCAACCGCAGTACTGACATCCGCCGCGACCTTCCAGAGAAGCCATCCCATAACAATGCCAGCTCAACCGCGTGATGAGAATATCTTCCTGCACGCGGAATTTGACCTCCACGCCCTTCTTTGTCTTGCTAAACGACTTCGCAAAAGAGCTTGCACCTGTGAATTGTCTCAGAGGCCCATAGGCGGTAGCTTTAACTGGACCATAGTTCTCTCCTTTGATGACGGAGTCGAATGGATTTTTCGCTCCCCTCGGACGCATCGTGCTTACGGTATCCACGACGATGCTGCGGCGCTTTTACTTGCCAGCGAGGCGGCAACGCTTAAGTATATCAAGAAGCACAGCTCGATTCCTGTCCCTGAAGTGTTCTATTACAGGTGTGTCAATCTAACCCAGATTTTAAGGGACGCGAGACTGAGAAAGCAAAAGCTGTACCAAGTCAAATGAAGTCGGAGTTCCCTTCATTTTGATGAGCAAAGCACCAGGCTCTGTGCTGAGCACGCGATGGCAAGCTGAATTGCCTGGAATGCCGAATGATGATACCAAATCCGCACAATATCTCACGCAGGAAGATAAAGAGAAGGTGATGAAGCAACTTGGGGCAATAACTGCACAGCTACTACACCTGCGGGTTGACAAGATAGGGTCACTCTTTGAAGAAGAAGGAAGCTATACTGTAAAGGAGTGTCTTTCGTTGGGGCACATGTTGCACGAGAGATGTACATTTGAAGAAATCTGCCGCGGTCCTTTTGATGAGGAGCAAGACTATTATAACTCGCTCCTTTCCGCATATCGGCAGCACATCCAATACCTTCCGATGTTGCATCACATCTTCTTCGCCCCAGTACCTCTTCCGCTGGAATACCGCAGTTATGCTAGCTATCTCTCTGCGACGGATCGATGGAACGATTTCGTTACCGTTGGCTCCAAGACCGAAGGCAGCAAAACTTGATTGGATTATTATATCGCTAGCCGGTTCCTAGAAGACATGATCCCCACTTTCACAAACGACTGCGGGGCACACCGACAAGCCGTTCCGGAGTCGGATTCCCTATCCGTCACCATGACCTTAGCACCAACAATATCTTCGTCGATAATGATTGTAACATCACTTGTATCATCGATTGGCAGTTTGCCTCCTCCGTCCCAGTCAGTGAGCTACTCGCCACTCCCGGTATGCCACACCCAAGAGATCAGCCTGAACCATTCCTTGTCTCTGCATTCAGAGCTGGAGTTACAAGCCATTTGGAAAGAGAAGGCGAAACAATCAACCCTTCTGTTTTGGAAGTCTCAGAGAAGGTGTGGCATTTCGTTCGGTTAACAGACATGGATGCCTTGCAGGACTATAACCACTTTGCGGAGCTGCTTATGTCGGTGTCTAAGAAACCAATGGATATACCGAAGCTGTTTAGAGAGCAGTATAACGAAAAGTCAATCTCGGAAATGTTGGAAGTCCTGGCAGCCGATGATGATCAACAGAGCGACATCGCAAGAAGAGAAAATGAATATTTCTCAGCCGTGGGACGTGACCGAGAAGCAATATCAAGGAAGTTTACGATGGCTTTAGAACTCAACCGAGGGTTCATAGCGGATGGGAGATTATGGCGCTGGATGGAAGATGCACTGGCTTCGACTCACGGACCGAACGGGTCCTGAGAGGTTGCACCAAGGATGCTACTCTGCAATTGCTGGTGCGCTCACCTATACTGCACGAAGTCCAATAGTCGAGGATTAGCTGGTTGCAACTCGGATATCCCGGAGAAGCATAGCTGCGTAAATGTCGAATACCCTAGTTGAGCAAGCGTAGAACAGCTGCATCCTTCACCGGCGAGTCCAAAGGACAGCTTAGTACTGTGGGATTAGCGCGCTCATGTGTATGGCCGATGGGAGGTGAAGCACCACGGAGGATTGGAAAATGAGGTCATCACTGGAGAGTGTAAAGAGGCTGCGGAGGGATTCTTCGTGAAAGATCAGGGTCAACATCACGGGCTACCACCTACCAGTAATTGGGTAAACAAGAAACGACCAATGCAGGTCGAATAGTAGGACACAGGCGAGATGCGCTTAAGAATATAGTTATAGTTATTTCAACTGAATGCATTCCGAATCTTCACAAGTCAGAACTTGTATCGTGCATCCTTCAGAATACCAACTAACCTTGCAAGCAGACACTTAGAATGTACTTGGCAAAATATAATATATAAATCACGGCATCAGTGGTCAAGCGGTAGTGTCTCTATGGCAGCCCTGTGAACACGAAGACCTAATTGCGACCTGGTGAAAGAAGGAATATACTCCCGACAACTATAGGCCGACAGGATAGTACTACTACTGATATGTTGCCCAGTATATTATTATTCTTCATTTGCATTCGCTGCTATCTTTCGACGAGCACCTGCCTTCCAGATTTCCCAACGAGCAACACTCTTTTTAGTTGAAATATTGGTTGGAGATGGAATTTAATTCTGAGATTCTGGACTACAAGGTAATGTGCTTTCGTCAGTAGATGTCAGCTGAATCCAATTCCTTCTGAGTCCATTCCCACAGCTCATCCGCCAGCTCCTTGTTTCGCGCATTGGCGCTGCCCTTCACAATCCGTTTCCCTGGATAGTAAAAGGCGCCGTTCACTAGGTTTCCTTTTCGGTTGTCGCGAGCCACTCCTGCAACCAAGCGCCCTCATACGGAGTGACCCATTGCGTCCACATTATGAGGCAGACAAACGGTATTTGCCAGGACCGGCTTGCGAGGAAGGTGGATGAAATGCCAGTCCTGACCACTCCCGGATGCAAAGACACGAAAGTTATCTCCGGGCACTTTTCCGCGAGGGTGCGCGTATAAAGCACGTTGGCAAGTTTCGACTGACCGTATCTCTCCCAATTGTCGAACTCAGCCATATCAGTCTTTGCGGCGTCTAGGCGGAGACCGACGCGTGGAGCCTGACGCTCCGAAGAGGATGCTAGGGTCACGACGCGAGCGTCTTGTCCAACACTGACCGCCTTCTTCAGAGCGGGGAGTAATAGGCGCGTAAGGAGAGCGTGCCCCATGTGATTGACACCGAATTGGACTTCGTAGCCTTGTTTGGTCGTAGCAGCAGGTACGCACATGATGCCAGCATTGTTCATGAGGACGTTGAGTGTGGACTCTTTGGCCAGGAAAGTCTGCGCAGCGCCCTTGATGGAAGCGAAGGATGTCAGGTCCAGAGCGATATGGGTCAGTTTTGAAGACACATCGTCCCCTGTGGCAGCCCTGACATGCTCAACAATCCTAGAGATAGCGGCTGCCGTTTTTTCTGCGTTACGAGAGGCCAGATAGATGTGTCCTGGACGGTGACTAGCTAGCTGCAGGACCGTCTCATAGCCTAGGCCGTCAGATGCGCCGGTGATAAAGATGATACGACCAGAGAGGTCAGGAATGTCCTGGCTTGGGTCGAAAGGCACTGGCTTGGACCACAAGCTGAGCATGTTGAACTTCATATATGCTTTGACAATACGTGCATATGCCTTGAGAGTCGGCTTTTGCGGGTAGTTGTGCGCTTCGGGGCTGTATCTGTGTTCTTGCTTTGGCTGCAGTTCCCCGATGTCGAGGGCAATAGCACGAACTGCCTGCGTCTTCCGGGGTAAGCACTCGCGCGACTTTATATCTCCGAGAAATCATCAGGATTAGAACCTGGTCTTTTCAACGCACGAAAGGGGCGAAACTACGGCGGACGATATCTAGGTGAAGTGCCAAAACTCAGATCACCAGCTTCAGCAAGGGAAACAGGTAACTAACACAGTACATATCATCTGCTAGTAGCATTTAAACAGAAAGAATAGCTTTTTAGTAACTGTAGCTAGAGGCAGGTACGACGCGGGGTTTGTCCGCCCCTTAGGCTGGGTAAGTCCAGACCTATGTGTTACGGTGTCAACGTGCTTTCGTGGGGAGTGGTTTGATGTAACCTGAGCTAGGAGCTTACAGGAGAGTTAGGGATAAAGCGCGGTGTCCCTGCCTTTGTGATACCCCGTGATGGATTGACAGGCTCATTGTCTATCACGGCACGACAGAACGTACCATCTTCGTAGATCCAGCAAAGCCCTTCCCCAGGAATGACACGCTCTCCAATGCATCGCGAAGCTCGCACGGGAGCGCGGGACGACCCCTCGGTTCGCCTTCGTGCTGGCTTCGGGACGATAGGTGTGCGGCTCGTTTAGGGCACGTATGTTGATCGTTTACTTCAGATGCCTGGGAGAATGCGCTCAAGCATTCCTCACATCAGCTGTTAGGTCATACGCGTCATACCAGCCCTTCATTTCCCATCTCCGAGACTTAAGGAATTCCTTGACCTTCTCGTTCTCGTATATATATGGCTGCGTCCACCACTTCTCGTGCATGCTGACCAGGCCTTTTTCAAAGTCGTTCTCGTTTGGACAGCGAATGTTCCATGTGTAACTGAGCTCCGTCCACGGCATAGGGCCGTCCCACTGGTGCGCCTTATTGATCAGATTCTGCTCGGGGTATTTCGGATCGAAGGAACCGGGAATCTTTAGCAAGGACACGTAGTAGTTGAAAGATTCTATGGAAGGCGCAAGCATGAAAAAGCCGGCGTTCATGTATCCAATAGTTTTGAGTCCAGTCCCTACGCCAGGCGGGAACTCGTGAGTGCTGTCTGCAACCTCAGAGAGGGAGGCAAGAAGGTATGTTGGGGGCAGCGGAGCCTCGCCTTCGAGTGCGGTGTAGTTGTCGAGCTGCTTCGTCTGCCTTATCTGCGCGCCGGGGTCATCGAAGACACCATCTAGAGGTTTCCGTAACATTGTGTCGCCGTCCAGTACAAGAATGCGACTGTACTGGGTCATTTCCCAGGCGCGCATCTTCGTCATGACGTCGTCCCAGCGGTGCTGCTCAGCCTTCACCCAATCATCGGTTTCGAGAAACTCGACGGGATAGACAATCGCGCCATCTTGTCGTAGACGGGCCCGGCGGGCTTCTGAGACCGAGGGCGTCACCATTACCACAACGTCACACCGGTGTGTACGTGTTTCAGGAACGTGCAGGAGCTGCCAAATGAGAATGCGGGTCGCGATGAAATAGTTATCTTTCTCCAGATCGTCGTCCTGGTCGACGGTGCCAGACAAGAAGGTGACATACGCGAGGCGCTCCTTGCCATCAGGATGTTTTCCGTTCTGGCCTGGTCCATCGGGCTGGTTGTTTACGCCGTCCTGTGCTCCAATGTAAGCCTCGTTGCCTTCGCTCATGTGGGCGCCCTCGGAGGGCGGAGCATTGTGGGAGTTCACCTTGTTGTCGCTGTGGTCGAACCCCGAGCCAACGCGAACGCGAATCGCTTCAGGGCTAGGTCCAAAGGTGCGCAAGCTGAGTAGCAACCCGATGGTTGCGATAGCTGCGACGACTGCAATGATAATACGGCGTTTGTCTGCGAAGGCTCCCATGGCAGAGCAAGGCAAAGGGAGGGCTCCCAGGGCCTATCGAGGAGGGGATAGGAGTAGGAAGGATGCAGGAGGGGAGGATGAAAGCGTAAACTAAACATAGACTATCGTATATCCATCCTGAATCCTACGGGGAAGGGGCCCGTGTAAGAACAACTTCCTTTACTTACGCTGGGCCCTGGGGGCAGTGGAGTCTCTACCCTACGCAACATCTGCTTCTCATCCCCGCAACCCTTTCACAGTTTCACGACCCCGCACACCTATTCCATGCTCTTGACGCCAGCGATCGTGAATTGATTCTTCAGTGTCTCGTTGCTCTGGCCTTCCGAGGCGGCGCCAGCTGGCAGCGGACACACGAAACCAGCAGCAAAAAGGGGCCAGTTCTACTTGAGTATCAGATCGGGTAGCGAGTCAGATCACGTAGCGAGCCGGCTATTTTCCTATACCGTACGGCACCCTATTTTTGGCGGTGCACCCATTTTTTGCGGTTCTGAACACCAAACCTCCGTCATACAAAATTGTATATAGAATCTTATTTCTGCAAAATAGCAGCTACTGGATCATGGCGACGCCAATCGTGAAGGTGGTGCATCTTCAGCTATACATAGTACAGATGTGTTGGATTCGGCCTCACTCATGTATAGTACTCACGTGACCTCGGAGGATAGTTCTTCCATCCCCGTCGCGCCCATACGAGCCTGCCTCGCCGCCTCTCCTACTCGGCAGACTCAATCTTCTGTACACTAGCGCAACCAACCTACACCTACTACTCGGTCCTCTGCCTCAGTGCCCTTACAACAGATATGGCTCGAAAATTGGAACTAGGGTTTGGAAGGTATCTTATTAGTTTTGGAATTTGAGATTTTGATACAACTTGATACCGCTGGCCACAATGGTTCCGGAAAACGACTTCTACAATCGCTAAACTGGTGCACTGCATCTCCACCGCCATACAAAGCAGCGGACACGACAGGAAGGCAGTAGCTGGTACATTTCTCGTTCAATGATGCAATGAACAATCGTAGACGTTGGCATCTTCATTTCCGGACTCAAATAACAAAATCCCTTCACATTTTCACCAACTGCGAAAGACATAAGAAACAGCATCAGTGGTCCAACGGTAGGATATTTGCCTTCCATTTCATTTCACTTTGACATGGCGCAGCAAATGGTTCGGGTTCGACTCCCGGCTGATGCAGCAATTATTTTTTGCTCATTTTCAATTTTTGCTGATGTCTATGTGGGTGGGGATTGATTGGATTTGCGATGTGTGGGCCCGTCCCTAGAAGCGGGGCCATATATCTGACATTCGACTTTCTGAGAACCTGTAACAAGTATATAGTGACGCATCCATTGTTTTTGGCAGATAATGTTTGCCTTTCCACGCTGCGAGCCTTCTCATCGACTGCAGCTGATTATCCTTATAGTAGGAACCTTATAGTAGGAACATGAACATTCAATTCGACTTCTCCCTACGTACTTGCCACCTTCATGGAACAAGATTAGGAGAGATCCCCCAAAATTCCAACAGCAGTGGAGAGGTCAGTGTAGGAATACCTGTTCTAATGCCTGCCGTTTGAATACTTGCCGTTGCACTGTAGGCGTCGGCGTCTGGGGCTCCGGGAGGCAGAGCCGGGGGAGGTCAAGGAAAATCATTCACGAGCCCAGTTCATTTTTACTCATCTGCTTTCGGTTCACATTCTCGTTACCTCTCAGGTGAGCCTGAATGGCCGCAGCTCAACGCCACGAGCCTCAAGCGCCTCCGGAGCCAAGCGGGGATCATAGTTGACCAATTCACCGGTTTCGAGATGCCTGAACCTCTCAAAAATGGCTGGGTCATCAGCCAGTCTTTCGTACGCCGCTCGCTCCCAGTTCCGTGACAGAGGTTCCAGTCGTGGGTCGTCCAATGTTTCCTCGCGGTCAGTGAGGTGCACAAAACGTTGCGTTGGTCTTCCCAAAGCATCTCCTTTGATGATTGTCTCCCAGTGGTCTGGCAATGGGCCAAGGATGCCAACTGCGTCACTGAGGCCATGCACGTAACATTCTCCCACCACGTGGAATTCGCCGGATGGAGTGCGACGCAGAACCAGGGGAGCGTAGGTTCCCAAGATAAGGCAAACTAAATCCCCTTGTAATCTTCAATCAACCAAAGCTTTCGTAGTAGAGGAATGGCGTAAGTCCGAACTTACCAGCTTGGGCACCAGCAGGAGCTGTGCCAATGTGGCCACTTTCCGTAGTGAAAAACCGACGGCCGCGTATCTTCTGTATCGTGTTTGTCGTCTCTCTTTCGGAGTATATCGGGTCATCCTGAGAGCTTGCGGTCAAGCATAACATCTTGCGGAGCATGCGGATCCACTCCCAGACGCTCAAGAAATGGCTGTACGGGTGCCGTTCTCTCGTGCGGTTCATGCAAAGTGTCAGGGCAAATGCGGCTTCCACGGTCTCACCCGTCACGTAAGTGCCTTTGTTTGGAAGGTATTGGAACCAATCTGCAACCGCCAGCAGAGTTTCCTCCTCAACCTTCGAGGCCATCCCGCTGACGGTCTTAATCGTGGTATACTCCTTTCCGACAACCTCGAGCACGTCTGGTTCTACGTATGTAAAGCATGCCGGTGACATTCCAGAGGAAAGCTGCTCGCTCAGAATGGGAGCGGCAAATTCTGTCTTGGACCAGTCGGGCACCCACGTTGGTCCCCCAATTTGACGATTCGCTAGATCGCAATGTTTCAGCAGCTCCAGTCGTTTTGTAGCCTTCACGTGAGTCAGAAATGCTTCCTTGTACACTTCCTCCGGTGGTCGTAGGTAGTCGACCTTGATACCGGAGCTGAAGTATGTCGGGGTGATGCCCAGGAGTCCGTAGATTTTATCTCTTGGATTAGCACAGCCCTTGCTGCGACTGATGTCGAGAATGTTGCTCATCGAGTGGCCCGCACCGTCGTACTTAAGGAAGACGATATGCCGGCATCGCTCACGAAAGCGCATAGAAGGTAAACTATCTTTATTGTGCAGACATAGCACCGCCAGCCAGAACTTGTTCCAGGGGATCGTATCGGCGCCGCATTGCATGACCGCGTTCTGACCGCCTAGCTTGATCTCCTGCCAGCACCAGATTCTGTAAAACCAAGGGCGCTCCACGAGATCGATCAACGCTTGCCAGGTCCGCTGCTCTAATAACGGTGGGTGATCGTTCCTCCACAGGTGAGGTTCCGTGGCGTCGGGTGCAGCAATGACTCGGCCGCTCTTCGTTGCTTTGAGTTGCCGCCCGATATGCTGTAATGTTGCGAATGCATGCTTGCTGTCGTTGGATTCCTCACCAAGCCAAGCCATGACCCGCTGGGCTAGAGTGTAGATGTTTGTCATCCTCTTGACTTCTTCATTGCGCTCTTCGATATCTTCTTGGTTGATGCATATGGCATCAATCCACAAGACGCGCGTTTGGTCTGGGTACCGCATGTAGCGGAGTGCGGCGGCCAGGTTAGGACGGAGCCCCAATGTAGCGAAGGGCTTGCCACTGCCTTGGTGATTCTCAACCTGGGCGAGCTCCGAGATATCAGCCTCTCCCCATGTGTAGGACAAAGCCTCGTATCGCGGTTGATATTCCGAACTCTCCTCAATTGATGGTGGAATGGTCGGGAGCGGATGGGTCTCGCCAGTGACAACGTTGAATATGATGAATTCACCGCTTTCGGTTTCCTCAATCGTCCAAGGACGAGAGACCTTGTTCCGGATGGAGTCAACCTGGAAGTTCTTTGGCTTTGGTGGAGGTTTGTCAGGAATGGGAAATGGCGAATGGACGATTTGGAATCTGATGTCGTCCTCAAATTTGCCTGGGAGCAGGTGAAGAAGCCTGATCTCCTGTAATGCTCTTTGGAGCGGTTCATATCGGTAGGATGCCATTGATTTGTTGCGAATTGGGAGTCCTGTCAGGGTACCTAAATTTCGTCGAGAGGGCTGGATGCGGGGGCAAGACCTGGAAGCGAACGATTCCTGGCGCTGCCTCCAGCTTACCCCGATGTTTTCCGCTCTCTTATCATGACAGCTCTGAAGAATGGGAAGAATGGGAAGAATGGTTCACCTCGGACCGTCCGGCGAAATTACGGTGAGCTATAGCGGTGCCTGTAGGCCTTTATTTGTATAAGAGACGTTAACCGACTACTAACGTGCTGAATCAGCTGACGCATGGTCTCACCTGGCACACACTTTTGGATGGTCGCTACACACAAACTTGAAGCTGTAGAGCTATATATATATTGTAAAATCGTCGGATTTTTTGTAGCAATAATCGGAGGGCCTTAAGGAGAAATTCTGGCCTCTTATTAGCAACCTGAAGCGCTCTGGGAGGCGGATTTGGCGGGTACGCATTGAGAGGCTAGCATCAGGCACCTCAACTTCAACAGGCGATAGCTCAGGCTCAGCAGGCTCAATATCCTTCGGCCTTTTTGCTAAGGCCTTAAGGCTATGCCGATTACCCTTTTTAGTAGATTTAATCTCATCGCAGAGTTGTTTTTTAATCGCTCTAGCCTTCCGAAGTTCATGAGCTTCAAGAGCCTTTTCCTCATGGGCTCGGTCCCACTCTATTTTGGCAGCAGCCCTCTTATGCCACCTTTGCTCGAGTAGAGCTACTTTCTGAAGCTTCAGCTGCTCTCTCCACTTCATATTCTCATTCTTTTGAGCCTGTATTGCCCTCTCCTCGGTGTCCTTTTGTTCCTGGAGATCGTATACTTTCTGGACCTTGGCTGGAGACTAAAATATAGCTCCACCATTGTAATCCTCTGGTGCCTCGAGCAGTAACATCTTACCCCACTAGTGGCACTTTTTCTCATTCACAAGGGCCTCTCAGAGCTGTATAACTTCATGCTCAAGTAGAGCTTTCTAGGTCGCAATCATGTGGATTTTGTGAGAGAGTTTTGAGACCCTAGAATCGTAAAATATCTTCAACAACCTGGCATAATAAGTGCTCGATTTTTCACCAGTCGCTGGTACTGAGTACTGAAGAGCCACTGTCATTTGAAGATGGGCGCTCATTCTCACTAGCACGGAATTGGGTGAGGATTTTATTGGGGTTGAGTGGCTCAAGCCCAGTGGCCTCGAAGGCCTTAGAGATAGTCTTTTTGATCAGCGTTCCTGTCAGATGGTAAGCCAGTTTATGGACATCCCATCTAGGACTGAAGAGGAGGACTGGGAGAAACTGTCTGTACCGGTACTGTCTGAGAATATGTGGCTAGTGATTTTGCAGTGGCTAGTGCCCTGCACAGCCTTGGTGCCCAGAGAAGGAACATCAAAACC